AGATACTGTTTAATCAGTTACAAATTACAGAAATTCACCTCAAAGTGACTTAAACAAAAAAGGGAATTGTATTTACTCTGTGCTGGCTTTAGACATGATTAGATGCAGATGCCAAAATACTGTGAGAAATATTTCTCTCTCCTTTTCTGGAGCCTCCTTTTTATCTTAGTTAACTTTATTTTCAGTCAGGTTCTTCCTCTTCTCGTATGGTGGTAAGATAGCTGCTGGCAATGCCAGGATGGCATTATGTTAGGTTTTAAGAACACAAATACCTCTCTGTCAACAACTTTACCAAATTCTCAGGCTAACTGTTAGTGGGCCATCCTGTGTCATGTGCTTAGCCAAATAAGTTAACTGCCAGGGTTGTGGAGATAGTGATAGGTCAGACCTGGGTCATGCTTCCACTCCTAGAGGCATAGAAGATCATCAGCCTTACCTAAGGCACATACACTAAGAATTAGAAAGGGTGTTACCCAGAGGAAAACTGGGACTCTGTGGTAGAAGAGAAATTGGATATCAGCTGAATGAGTGAGTGAGTGAAATAACTCATTCATTGATAGGAAGTACTTTATAAATGTAAGGTTATAATACATATGTAGTAAATAATATGGCAGCCCTAAATAAAATAATCCATACTATTAATTGAGAGATCCCAAATTATTATGGAACTTGTTTTACATTTATTTTACAGTATGATTTTATGAAATAGCTTAATTTTTCTGCCATGATGATGAAGAAGTATGATGCCTACAGACACTCATATTCCTTTATAGCTGATTAAGACCATAATCAGTTAGAATTCTCATTTGGTAAGGAATAAATTTGTTTGTCTTAATGTTAATTTTCAATCAAAAACATATCAATATTGAAACCTACCTATTTTATATTTTTAATACTTGCATAAGATGCTTATAGAAGTTCTTTTGTGATTGCAGATAGAGAAATAGTCACTTCATTGCTTTTTTTCCTGAAAAACAGTTAATGCCACCCTAATTAGTCTAGTTATATTGTCAATCTTATGTTTATTTGATATAACAAATAAGTATAAACCTAGAATGAGGAAAATTTAAAGATTTGTTTACTTTAAAAATGACATTATTTAAGCAGATCACCACTAATAAAATGGGTTTAGATTTGAGACTGGAACTCGCCAATACAGAAATAACAATGATCAAATTTATGGGAATATCTGATTGTGAAAAATAGTATACAGATAGACATTTAGGTAAATATAATCACCATCTCTCAAAGATGTTCTTACCTACCCCTCTCCTTCCAGTTAAACTTTGTGCCTCTTTTATTTCCTTATATACTTGTGCACCAGCACTTTTAAGACTTTACTGCCCTGATATATTTACATATCCATTTTCTACAACTAATCTGTAAGCTCTTTAAAGGCAGGAACAATGCCATATATGTGCTTTATCTCAAGCTCCCAAATACAGGGGCTGGGCCACTCAGTAAGTATTCATAAATGATTAGATGGATGGTAGCAAATATAGATCATAGCTCTGAAGGTAAAACCAATTTATAACTGTCAAAAACATATCTGATTTAGTTGTATACGTGTTACACCAAATAATTTGTATGCTATTTAGGATCCAGTTCTTTTTTTCTATCAATTCTTTAGAAATAATATGTGCATTTATGTTACTCAATGCATTAACAGACTTCACCAATGAAAATGAATCAATACATACAATTAAAAATTGCTATTTATCATTTCAGGGGGAGTGTAAACACTATCAATGCACAGGCTTTTCCTTTGGTAAATACTGTATACCTAAATCTAAGAAGTAAAAGCAAATAGGCTATCTCACATAATTCTCTATGTTCATTTTCTCTTTTTTTTTCTACCAACATTCATTTGTCAATCATCTCCAAGTTTCCACATTAGTGTCTCCTTTTGTCTTAACTCTGGCCTGACACATAAAGTGTAAATATAACATTACTCTCATTGTGATATTATGCAGATGAATTAATTTTCCTTTTTGTCCTTTTCAGAGGATCTGTTTCCTGTCTATGTCCATATTAGAATAATATTAAGTATGCAAATAGATATGTATATTTTTTAATTCTTAATTGAAAAATATAAATCAAAGAGGATTTTCATGTCCTTTTGTCAAAAGCAAAATTTGGGTGACATACTCCTAGTCTAAGCTATTAAGTATTTGCATTTATTAAATTTGGAATTTAATCACTTTTTATATTTATATTTCCTTTAATTTTCTTAAGTCAGTAATCTTATACAGAATAGCCTTTTATACATCTAAGATTAGGAAATGGCATACATTATAACTACTAAGATGCAAGCATTAGTGTCTCCTCTTAAATCATAAGATAAATCATGGACAAATTAATCGTGCCAACAAAATTTGATGACCACATCACTACTGCTGTTTAATAAAACAGCAATTATATAAACTGTTATGGAATTAGAGTTCAGAAAAACAGCAGTTGACAGATTGTTTTATATAAGATTATTTCAAATGGTTAAAAGTAAAATCCCAAGGATAGTACTAACTACATAAAAACATCTTTAATATAAAAGTAGATAATGTGGTATAATTCTTCAGTTTGCAAAGATACAGGTTTTTTTTGGAAGGTGTTTACTCTTATAAAAATAACAGTTTCTAAACTATATACTTAAAAATTTTTTGAGTATTGGAAAGAAACATGATTAAAGGGAAAATTTTTTTTAAAAGACAAGCTAATGTTTAGTAATTTAAGTGTCATGTTCACATTTGCAAGTTCTTTTGAATATTAGTCCCAGAGTCAAAAATAAAAACCTGTAGATGCACTAAATATAGTATGAGATTGATATGCAATATAGTAGAAATTAATATCATCTTCACTCATACCATGGAAGTTTAGGATGATTTTATAGTGGATGTTATAATATATTTCATTATCTTTTATTATCAGCCTACAAGATAGTTCCTATAATTAACCTTTTATGTGCTATTCTATTCCTAGGTTATCCTGCAGGTAATCATTACATGGAACAAAACAGTGATATTGGAGTTTAAAGTAATTTAAGAGCCATTCTTTTGAAAGTCAATTGATTAATACATTTTTCGTCATAAAAATATTAAAGCATTACATTTTGCCAGCGTATAATGTTTTCAACAATATTTTGTTGCACAAAAGTTCTAATTTCAAAAAGAAACATTTATTTATAAAATATCATATTTAACATTGAGATATGTAAATCCTTAAAAGTAAATTTTCTCAATATTTTACATGCATAAGAAAAAATGTAAGAATAATTCTAATTCATCTCTATAATTTATATAGGATATTATCATGGTTTAACTTTCTAAATATAATAGGGTAGCTTTTCAGACAATTTTCTACCTGAAAGAAATGTATGGACAAAATTAACAAATGTTAAAAAAAAATACTTCTCAGTCTACTTCTTTAAACTGAATATACTTAATCATGAGACATGAGGGATATATTTGACATTCCTAACAGGCGTTTCTAGAAAATTTAGATTATATCATATAAAATAAAATGATTATGTCAATAAATTGGAATGAAGCAAAATTAAAATTCAGCCATGACTGTAAAGTATGTGTGTGGAAAAAAAATGAAGTGTGTGTGTATATGTAATATTTATAAATATATTTACAACATGACCCAATTTAGTACTTGCATTTATACTTTCATTGCTTGCCACCTTCCAGAACAAAATTGCCAAATATGCATGGCTGTATTTCTTTAAAATATTCTAATCCAAATCTGTGTTTTAAAGATAGCATTAGTGGTGCTTGCTAAAAGTTAGCTAAGGAATATCTTATAGAATATCTCAACTAAACAACTAAATATCCTGCTCAAAGTTTAACAAGTGATTTCAGTCTGTCCATTTTAATATCTGGAACAAGGAAAGCAATTACTTCAGTGTTTTTTGTCAGTGACTCAACAATCACAGGTTTTGATCTACCCAGTGAGCCATAAAATATTGTCATACTAATCATTGTGCTACCAAAATAGAATTTTAAATGTTAATATCTATACTTCAATTTTAGAGGTTATGAAAATTAATACTCATTTGATACTTCTCATATAGTATTTGATTGTGATTAAATAAATCAAAATATGCTATTTTGTGGCTGGATGTTTCAATAAAAATTAACAAAAATGCCTATACTTTATATAGTCACATTGAGTCATTGTTAAGTATTCATGTTACTGCAATAATTTTTCAATATTCTTTGAAAATTAGGTAGTATCATTTGATAAGATAATCATAAGCCCTGTTTTTTAAAATGTAGCTATAACTGCCAAAAAAGAGAATTATCCACCTAATCAGAATAGTATAGCCTTAATCTACCCAAGGCCATTGAAAATTTAAATCACTAATTATTTAGAAATCATTTATTATTTTTATGAAGTTTTATATTTTATGTCAGTTTAATTGAAAATATTAGCAATTTTATTAACCTTTATCTCTGAAAACATTAGTCATGAAACAAGTAAGTTATTTGTGGATAACACAAAATTTACTAGGTGATAAGGAACATGAAATTAATGTCTTGAAGGGGCTCAAGCTGAACCTTTATTAACTTTGCTTTATATTCTTGCACCTGTGTTTTTATATGTTTTAGAGCACAAGATTTTTTTAAAGCTACAATAGGTGAAGAATCATCAACAGCATTGTGATTTTTGGAGCTATATATAAATGTTACCATTGATATATTGTTCTTTTTTAATATACTAATCTCTTATAATTTCTATTGCAAAATGCAATGACTCAAGGAAAAATTTTATTTAATAACTTTAACCTGAAAATTGATTTTTTCCTTTGAAAATTCTAATTTTACAAGATATTTATATTAAAATGTGATAAAAGTCACTTTAAAGTTACAATATTTCTGTCTTTCATAAATTCTGTTTAAACTAATTTTCAATTTATTATCTTTTCTAGGATAGCAAAGTAATATAACGTATGTGCGTACAACAGAAGTATTATTTATACGTATTTTTTTTAATTACAG